GTGACTTGGATCCTAACCCCACAAACACTTTTGAAGGCTTCTGTTTATGAGTATCTCCATTTGAGTGGGCAGGCATATATCCCTGCATTGTAACACCTTAACGCTGCAAGGTGGGAAGGGCCAGGAAAATGCCAAGAGCTCCCCATCCTCATGCCTTAGTAATGTTTGGTCTTTTCCTGAGAGTTGCAGCTGCTCAAGCCCTGGGATTATGGCAGAGCCAAGCCTTTTGGTGTGCTTGGATGGTTTCCATTTTAAGGGCCCTTTCTAACCCGTATATTGTATACATATCTATAAGCATGCCTTTGTAGACAGACAAACGAGGGCTAAACTTTTATACCATAACCATAAAATCATATCCTACATTAGAACCGCAAGTTACTTTTCCCTTATTTTGTGCTAATAATGCTAATAATTTTGTCTAATGATGACAGTGGTCCTTATTCAATCTTAGCAGGAGGAAATTTTACAGCTTCTTTGCATGTAAAGCTTCCATTATTTGGATGAGGTTCTTGTGACATAGGTCATTTTATCTGTAATATGTGTTTATAGTTTTTTAAAACCTGAATAGTTTATGGAATAAATTCTGATGTGACATAGCCAGGAGCCCTGTGGGTTTTCATTATGCTATTGATTAAAAAGCCCAACACTATACAGTGAAGATAGGGGAAAGAATTGGAAAGTGAGTAAAAATTCCTTTTACTCTGTGTAAATAATTTCACATTTGTTTTAAAAAAGGAGTCTTTGCTTATTTTTTTTCCTCAAGATAATCTCTGCCTTTGTTTGAAAAAGGTTATTGATTGGATTGTTAACTTAAATAGTCTGTGGCGGGTGTGACAGAGCACATGGCTGCAATTAATCTTGCGATGCAGAATCCATTATTGAAAAAGCACTAATGAGCCATTCTAAGGCCTTCACTGGTCACAGAGCGCCTGGGAGCAGCAGATTGCTCCTGCCCTATAATGTCAGTTTTGGTCTTTAGTGTTATACAGCTGGTGTAAGCAGAAGAGATTTTTAGATAGATTTTCCTTTTAGGGTATTTATGTTAAAATTCCCCTTACCATCAGTCTGCCGTTGCAGTGGGTGTGGGAGACAAGAGTGTGTTTGCCCCCCACTCCTCTGACCAGATGTCTGGTGGACATAGTGTACAATTAAAGCCAGTGGCATGTGAAAAATGGATGTCACTATAAAATATGGTCTCAGTTGCAGGGTTCAGATCCAGAGGAGAGTTTTGACAGATATGAGGGAGCTTTCAGACCTGATCTATACTTTAAAATACTGCTTTAAGACAAAGGGATGAGCTGTTGGAAACCTTCTCACTGCAAGTTTTATTGTCTATGTTGTTTATAGCTATTGCAGCAGAGCAAAAGTTTAGGTAGAGAATAGTTATGGTAGATTAGAAACTGTCGATGTTAACGTATCACCTTCTCCTTCAACAGAATTGCTGCTGGGGTGTATTTTAGAGGTCTGTCTATTGACTTCGGTGACACCATAAATATGTGTTACTTATTCTCCCTGCTAGATCTGCTGAGCTGATACAGATGTGTGAGAGTGATCCAGGGTTTGCCAGGGCTGAGCCACTAGCTGAATTATTAACTGAGTTCCAGCTGCAGGCTCTTTGCTGCACGCCTTTGCCATAGCAAATGCTGTTTATCACAAAATGAGCAAAATAAGACTGTTTCTTCATCCTGACCACATTAAGTGATGCCATTAAGCAAGAAAGACTTTCAGGTCTGTAGCTCATATAGTACCACAGTGTCTATAACTTGAACCACATTTTGGACTGTTCTTTGTGTAAGACAAAATTGTTTGTGAGCTGAACTTTAAAAAGAAAAGCAATTTTCAATCTACCTGCCATACACAGCTACAGGGTTTTGTTTTCAGGTACTCTGCTAGAAAGGGAATGCCAAGAAGTGCTGTGATACGGAGCAGGGATGATGTTCACTGCCACTGCGCCAGGGAGTCTTGGATGTGTGAATTTTCTCATTGATCATGAAAAGCACTGGCTTTTGAACCAAAGTAGCAGGAAAATAGAGAGATTGTGAAGAAGGAGAGCTGAGAGGGCAGGAAAAAGAATTTCAGTGTTTTGTTTATCTATTGACATGCTTACCGGACGCTACAGTGCCTCATCACGCTGCTGGCATAAGTAAAAATAGTCTTTCCAGCAACGTTAGGTTGGGGTCATGGTACCACAAGGCACGCTGTTTCATGTGAAAGCGGATCTGACTTAGAGGCTCAAGAAAGACATGTCCACAAGATATTTTTTTTCCCTTAGACATGCTGTAAGCCCTGGGCTAACAGAGAGCGATCTGCAGCCATGCAGATATGGCTGCAGGCATTTGTTGGACTCTTTTGTAGTCACAGAACCCGATGGACTGAACAAATTGATATATTTCTGCAAAATATTTCTGCTACTGAAAAGAAGCCACCATGGCCCTTACTCCACTATTAATATTTCCTAAGCAAAACTCAGCTCACAAGAACCAGTTGCTTTTAGGTTTGTGGTGGATTTGGTTCTTAAGAAGGGCCCTGTAAAATAGGATGGATCACTCAAAGGATGAGGCACCATCAATACGAGATGCAGCACAGAAAATCTGCAGAGGTGTTTTGGGGGCAAGTGAGGAATGAGACAGTCAAGACTGATAGCAGGAAGAGAGCAGGAATGGCTGTGGTGGGACAGAGATAAAGTAGTGAACAGAACCTGACCTTCATGTCATTTGAGAAAGGGAGTCTTTAGCTGGAGTCTCTGCAATGAGCAATGTGTGTACACAGACAAGTGAGCACATGAATTCGTGTATGCATTTAGCTGTGATTTATTTCTGCAAGTTTGATTCCATTCTTTCTGTTTCTTTTCAAATGTGACTGAAGCTATTTAACTGTCTGATTAACTCACCTCCCTGTATGAGTTGCTTTCTGTGATATATTCCAGCACTGTACAACTTTTCTGGAAGCTGACACTCTGCTGTTGGGATGAATTCCTCCCTGATGTGTAGTGTGGCACATTTGTTCTATTTACTGGTGTTGGAATGAGGTTCTGCACTTGCTGTAAATCAGATCTGGAGGAACATTTCAGTGTCATGTCAGGTTCTGCTTGTTTGGTAGTATCAGAAATTATATGAGGTCTTTTCAGCAGGAAAAGGTATCATGTCACATCTACTTCTGCACAGTTGCAGTTTCAAGGACCCCAGAACTTTAGATTGAACTTGGTCCACTGTACATCTCAGTAAAATCTGACTCTTGTTTTGTGCTGACATTTCAAGAGCTCCAAAACCTATATGAGCTCATCTGTACTGTCAAAACATTTATTTGTTCAAAGGCTTAAGAGTGATATGAGCAATGTCACTGATCCCTCCTCCCTTAAATATCTCCTTCATTTTCTATTCTATTTTGATTATAACTTAGGTACACACATTTCCTTGTTGGACAGGCTTAGTTTTCGTATCATAACCATGAGAATATAACCAGAGAACAAAAATCATTACAGCATTTGGTAGTATCATGGGCACATAAAGGAAATAGATTCCTTACAGTATTATTGCCCCACCCAGCAATTCTCAGGAACTGTTTGCTTCACTATCTAGAAAATATAGAAGCTTCTTGTAGGGTGGTAATGACTGATGTGACGACACAGCAAAACACCACTGATAAATCTAGTAATGAAGATAGCACTTCTGTGCCCACATCTACAGTTAGCAGTGCCTTATTTCCTTATTGGAGAAGGAGCCTTTCGTTCTCTCTTAAAAGCATACTTAGGCTGGCAGAAGTGGAAAGCTTGTTTTCCTACCTGCTGGCTGCATTCTAAGAACAGCACATCAGCAGCAGGGGAAAAAGCCCTGTGCACGTGATGGTGCAAGTTTCTAGCAGTAGCATGCAGTAGCGTTGGGTGTGTGTACCAGTAGTTCTAGTTTTTGTGTAGATGAGCAACTGGTTATCCCTGCCCCGTGCCCCTCAGCCCTGACTATAAGCAGTGTTAATGCTTAATGTGTGTCAGAGAGGGATGCTAAATACAGGGCTTTCCAAGAAGGCAAGCGGTAGCTTAGTGCGGGTGATTTAGGGACTGCTCCAGCCTGATAGGGGTGGTTTGGGAGTACAGTGCTTTATTTCAGTGGTGTGTTTTTCTTGTTTTGTTTTGCAGAAGGAACACTGCTCCTACCTTTGGTTTGTTTGTTTGCTTGTATTTTCCCCTCCAGAAAGCCCATTGCTGACCCTGCTACTGTGATACTGCTGTTTTGCAAAGCTGGAGTCGACACGCATGTAGGGGCGGGGGTTGTAACTCTGGCAATTTGTCCTTCCCGATTAGATGTGACTGTTCTGCTAGCTTTCCCTTCTTTATTCTTTTCATTTAGTTCATTGTGGGAGTTGGCTTGGGTTTTTTCCTTTCGGTTTCTTGTTTTGATCCTGGAAAGTTAGCTGTGCAATTTGGTTTCTTCTGTGCCAATCAACTTTAGTGGCAGAGCTCTTAAAAAAATTAAAAGCTTGTCCCTCCATTCTGTCTTGCTTCTTCTCTGTATGCTACTGCTTCCATTTGAGCAAAGTTTACAGAATTGCTTGCTCCACCTATTTGGAAGGGAAGCTCTGAAATGGAGAATAACCTCATTTCCACCAGGTCCTTCAGTCCGGTTGAAGCGCTAATGAAACTGTAGTCCAATTTCTATTAAGATGGATGGGCTGTTTCTGAAATTTGGTTTGTGTCTGATTTCATCCCTTCTTTTGTTTTCTTTCCCAGAAAAGCCCACAAAAAACCAAACCCAAAGCCAAACCATTTTTAAGAGCTCTGAATAAAACTGCTTTGCCAATGGGGAATGAGTGGGGATGACTCTGATTTTCTCTTGTGCCCGGCAGCGAAAGGGTTAATGCCTGCTTTCCTCTTCAGTATCTGTTAGTTGCAGCCCATGTTGTGATCAGTCCACGTCCATGTATGTTTTGTTCCCAAATTTAATACCAGTTAATGAACAAGCTATAAGTGAGCCCTAACAATGACAGTTGTTTCCAATCTTCCTCAGGACACCCGACCTGCCTGCAGTTCACCACAAACATGACTGAGGCTGTTAAAACCTATCAGTGGCAGTGCATTGAGTGCAAATCCTGCAGCCTTTGTGGGACCTCTGAGAATGATGTGAGTTCATTTACCTTTTCATGCAAATAAACATCACTGCAAAATACTGTCACATGTGCCCTTGAGGAGCATGTAGCAATGGTGTGGGTCATTGCTGCTTCCATACATCTCCAAGGAAGAGCTACTCCTGAGAGTAGAGATGGGCTTCGCCCCAGTGCCCCTGTTCTTCTGAAATTACCACTGATATCATATAGGGCCACTTAAGATGGTGGTACTTGTGGTTTGTATGCTTGCCCAGTAGAAGCAGAAGTTAGCTGGAGCCCACAAACGTGTTGCGAGGAGCTGCCAGAGAGTAGTATTTTCAATATAGTTTTCAGGAGCAGATGTGATGGGTGATAACCTGAGAGATGGCAGGTGTGTTTCTTCTGTCCCTGATTTTGCTTACTTTCTTGGCATGACTTTGTAGTCTTAATTACAAGACTTGGGAAACATGACAGCATTTGAACTGGGATGGTGAGGCTTCTCTCTAGACACTTAATCACCTATCCCAGTGATTTCCAAATTGTGTTCCAGATCCTGCAGCTGGACAGTGTCCTCTCTGTAGGGTTTTCAGTTAAAATCTAATCCTAAGGGTCCTTGGCAGTCTGTGAGAAATTTGGAGAATTGTCAGTTGCTGGGCAATTTTGGAGGTGATTAGCTAACATTCCATTCCCTATAGCAGAACAAACTTGAAGCCTGGGATTTTGTTTTGCTTTAGCAATAAATAAGGAAATCTGAAAACAGGGATCTGTTCTGTGTTAGGAACCTTGGGATACTTCAGAGCAGCCTTTTTCCCCCCAGATATATGAAAGGCTGCAGACCCCACGGTGGGATTTCCATCTGTTTCACAGAGCATTTACTTAGTTTAGTTTTGGAGAACTGGCTAAGTCCAGGCTTTTGATGAGGAAGGTTTTCTCTGAAGGGATGAGATCCAGCATGAGGTCACATTGGAGCCCAGTAAAGCCTGTCCTCTTCTCTCAGTACAGCATATCCCCAGCTTAACAGCTGTTACTCCTGCATCATGAAGCCACCTTGGAGAGGAAGTCCTCCACCCCCCATAGAGATTTTTCCGCTAGACACTGAAATGCCTTTGTGATGAGAGGGGCTCTCTGCAGCCTCTCAGGAATATGATGCAAAGAGGTGATGCCTATAGCCTTTTACATTCTCAGTATTAGTCTCTATGTTGCAGCTTTGTGTTCCTGGCTAGGAACTGCTAGTTACTATGTTTTTATGTTTTCATCTTGGCAAGAGACTAATTTACACCATTTCTCTCTTCTCCCCTCCTTCTCTCCATTTCCCTACTGTCTTCCCAACAACCCTGCCTCAGGACCAGCTGCTCTTCTGTGATGACTGTGACCGTGGCTATCACATGTATTGCTTGAATCCACCAGTCTTTGAGCCCCCAGAAGGTAACATATGTTAGAGTCTGCTTTGAAAGTCCTTATGGAAAAGGGAGGAATTTCAGAAAGGTGGAAAGGCTGTGCAGGATTAAGAAGGCTGTAGCAAAGCAGAAGCAGATGGCTTTGGAAATAAAATGAATAGACATGGATGTCTAGTGCGATCTGAGATGTCCTGTTCAATCTTACCTGGTCTCTACCTCCTCTTCCAGGACACGGGCCTTTTGCAGGTCATGGGTACCCGTGGATGTCCCACTTGGCACTGGACGCCTCAATTTAGACAACTGAACTGAGCTTCTCTGAATTGTGACTTTGGACTTCCTAAGAAGTCAAAGTCCCAGAGAGAAACCCCCATACAGGAGGGTCCTCTCTGGAATAGCTGAGTCTGTTGTCATCAGGAGCCTAGATTAAGAGGAATGACCTTCCTTGTTCTTTGGTCTGTCTGTGCCTCACAAGGGTGAGAGTTTTACTGTCTGTATTACATTCAGTATGTAGTTATGTCCTCTGCAGGGTATTGAATGTGACTATACTACAAACGGTTGTAGTTTGTCCCTTGGTTGTGGAGCAGAGGAACTACTCCCTTGCCATTATTGATTCTCTGACTAAAATCTGCAGAGAGCAGTAGAATTGGAGAAGGAGACATGTGAGTGTGAATGACTGCAGTTTACATGAGGGGTGAGACAAGAATAATTACAGATCAATCATGCATTCAGGAGCTAAATGTTTGGAACTCTGATAAAGGCAAAGCTAAATCAGGAGGAGAAAACTTTGAAATGCAACTAATAATTAGCTAAAGGTTTCTGTTTGACTGGGAAGTGGTGTATTGAAAGTATGAAAATATAAAACACGTAGTGGAAAAGGACACCCCAGCTATGTTGTAACTTGGGTAACTTGGGTATAAAGCCTACACACACAATACCAAGGGCAGCAGAGCCTGCTTCAGAAAAATACAGGCAATTCCAATGCAAGGAATACTTGTTATCTCATTCAGGCAGATCTTGACATAAACTCAGTGCCTAGATTTGATGTCATTCCTACCAGAAGGATTTCTTCATTTGCAGGGAGCTGGAGTTGTCATTTGTGCCGGGAGCTGCTCAGAGAGAGAGCATCAGCTTTCGGCTTCCAGGCCTGAGGAGCTCCAGCAGTCAAGAAACACTTTGCTCCTGGTGTTGCCATACCAGCACAAATTTCCCATCCAGAACACAAAGACACAACCCACATCAAAATGAATGGACACTTACATACAGGAAGAGGTATCTGTGGTATTCACTGTCATTAATGCCATACCTCCTGGGCTCTACTAGAAGGATCATGTACTTTCTCGATGCTCCGGATGAAATCTCTTCACTGCTATGCATGGTTGCTGCTTCCTGTTATGGGCTCACATGCATTTTACAAAGGGGAGGGCTGTTATATCCACAGAGTTGTCAATTTTGTGTGGCCTTGTGCTTTCTGTTCAGTCTTTTTTTCAAAGAAGTAGTAAGATACCTCCCAAGGAATTATTGGTGAGTACTTTGGCTGGGAGCAGCACCAGTTGTTTCTCTTCACACACTTGACTGGAAATCTCTTTACTCTGTATTTGTAGGGGTGCTTTGAGAGCTGCGTTAGTTCAATACTTCCCAGGTCATGAACAACATATTGTCACTGAAAGAAGCCCTGATCAACAATTTTTGGGGTGACACTTTTTCCCTTGGATCAAATGCTTTGATTTGGTAGATCTTCATAAATCTGGTTTTAGTATCTCTGAAGGAAGAACAGTACCGGTATGTACACACACAAATGCTTAGGAAATCCCACTGCCTTTGGTTTTTCAGTGTATTCAGGCGCCCTGCCCCACTCCAGTGCCAGCATACAGTCCAGAGTCTTCATTTAATTTTGTACAGAAAGTTGTGAATGGTCGTGTATGCAACTGACTTGCTGTTTAGCTCAGAAAACTGAACAAAACAAAACCAGCATCTTAAGTTGAACATAGAAAGTAAACCTGTCAGTTTTCTGAGCAAAGTAAGCTGCAAAAAGCAAAAACTTTGGCTTATGATCAAATGAAGCACTTTTAGTAATATTTTTGAAATTTCTAAACTAAAATGTTCCACAACTTAAAGTTGCATTTTATTCCAGGAATTGCTTAATCAAGACTTCCAACATTTCCAGACTTACTGTTCTTTAGTGAAGTAATTATCAAGATCTATCTGAATTTCCAAAAAATTTTGCCCCCAAATTCTCCACCAAACTGCATTTTTGGCGAATGTGATAATTTGTCAAAAAGCTTTCCCCAGCTCTAAAGTAGGGAATAATTTACTGAAACTAATAATAAAAGAAAAAATTCAAATTTATTTTAACATTTAAATAGAAAGAATTGTATTTTATTTATGCAAACCTCTACATGTGAAATGAAGAAACATTAAGCAAGAGCATCAGTTGAAAAAGTATTAGTTCAGTTGAATCACTAGGAGGACAAGTGAGTACATTAAAGAATTTCTACCAGATACATTTTAAGGTTAAAAACCTGCAACTCCTTGAACTGCCAAGTAGCCCAGAATGACCATTTTCTTGGGCATGATGTATATTAATTTCTATGCATAGATTTAAGTGGGTTTATAATATACATTTATGAGAGTCTCAAGCAGCATGTGACTCAGGTTTCTTGTACAAGTAGGTAAGGACACTGAAGATTATATTTGGCATATTCATATTAATTGAAACTTTTCCACAAAATTAAATGTTCCCAAACACTTGAAAGAATGTTGTTAAAGAATATCGGTGAGCTAATTTTTCTTCCTTCTCTTGCTAATTACACATAGTTAGAATGAGTTATACTGACCTAATGCACTTTCCCTCATTATTTAGGTAGTTTCTTCACCTTTTGCTAGAATTGACAGTGTCAGCTGCTGGATTCTCCCATGTACTCTCACAGCCTCTTCTCAGGCAGCAGAAGTATTTTAACCTGTTAGAAAGAAGATTTAGGAAGTATTTATCCTGGTTGTATTGGACCAAGTCTCTCCTGGGTTAGGTGCACTGGCTACCTAGGGAATTCATTCAGTACCTTAGGCTTTTCATGTGATGACCCCTCAGATGAGCCAAGAGTGCCAAGAGTACAAGGAAATTAGAGCATCAGCTCTGGGGAGCATAAAGTGGGAGCTCATGGACCTGTGTTAGGTCTCTGGTACCTGCTGGGACAAAGCTCTAGAAAAAATGTAAAATGAAGCGTTTTCTACCTAGTCTGCATCTACCCTGATCCTGGGAAGCACCTGGAGGCCACAGCTCATCCACATGAGCGTTTGCACCCATCTTTTGGTGTGGTCAAACCCTGCTGACTGGGCACTTTGGGACCATTGCAGGGTTTAGGCTCAAACAAAGTCCTGTTGCTGCTGTGACCAGGACCACAAGTATGTATTCTCCAGAGAAGCCACTGAGCTCTTTCATGGGTAGTGCATGGTTTGGCTAGAGGGACTGGAGCTGAGAAGTGTGTGTCTGGAGGAAAGTTTTATGGTGGTGCTGGTGGTGGGAACAGCAGAGGTGGGTTGGTGTTTGGGCTGGTGCTCAGCTACCAAGGCCTGCTGGGCTTAGGGATCTCCATCATAAAAACGGCCATTGCCTCCCAGTTTCCTGGTATTTGCATTGACCCTGGGAGAGGAGTGGGACAATGTCTGCTCTATCAAAAGGAGAGTGAAATACATATGGTTTAGGCCTTTGTTTTGCACAGACAGTGGACAGTTCATCATGTAAGTCTCAGATAGCCCTGTTTCTGGGACTGGCTGGTGCAGAAAATCAGTGCTCTCCATCCCTGTGACAGACATTGCTAAATGAGCTGTGCTTGGCACACACCTGTTTCCTGCTTTGTAGTTTTGATCCACATTGCTGGCTGTTTTCTCCTCCCACAAGCATTCTGCAGTGAACAGTGTCTTTCAGTTTGGAAATATTCCTTTGTGGCCTTGCTGAAGTTTCACCACTAATGAGGTATGATGGCAGGAAAGACTGCTAGATCTTCAATGGCAAAATATTATTTGCCATTTGAGATCAGTGTCATAGGGTACTTACCTGCAGTGGTCTGTCTGCATTTCATCTCTCCAGCTTTGTGCTGTGTTGCTGTGCAGCCAAGCAGCTCCAGGTAGCTTTGGCAGCAGATAAGATGCAAGCTCTCCCATGCTGAGAACTTCTTCCAGCTACAGTCTCCCTTCTTCACTAGCTCGGTCTAAGATAAGGGGCTATGACGGATCTCTCAGTGATGTTTTTATCATGCATTCAGAGCCATATGTCTTGGCACACTTCAGAAATATTAATTGATCCACCAAGCAAACAATGCTGTAACTGCTTTACTGAGATGTGGAGAGGTTGTGGTACAGCCTTGGAGGTGAGGAAGAGGAGTTCAGAAATTCTGATAATTGACTCCCTGTCATGTGGTACCCTTTGGGGACAGCGTTCCTGCATGACTGCTGGGATGAATAACTTGGGTGGCACCATCCATGGTCAGGCAGATCTTGAGACCACTCTTAACGGTGATCTGTTCTGGGCAGTAAACAATGTGGGGACACTGGCTCTGTCTGTTTCTGTCTCTCTTGGTATGGCAGGACGTGCAGGTTTGTTGGCAGTCTCTGAGGTGATCGAGCTCTGGCGTATTTCAGAACTCTTGTGTAGGCAAGGCAAGCAGTATTTTAGCACAAATCAGGGCAACTACCATGGGAGATGGTAGATCCTGCATCTCTTGAAGTCTCTGAATCAAGAATGGGTGGCTTCCCTGAAGACGTATTTTAATTAAATGCAATTTTATTTAATCACATGAACGTCTGACTGAAAAAAGGCTGGTGTTATAGAGGAAGTCAGGCTGGATGATGTAATTGTTCTTCCTGTCCTTATTATAAAAACAGATGTTTACTGTGGCAGAGGATGTATTTAAATACAAGCTGTGTCTGCATAATGGCCTTAAAGTACATTAGTCAAACATACTGATGTAATTCTTCTAATTTTTAACCTCTTTTGGGTAACCTAAAAAAGGTCAGTTAAAGAAAATCAGCCTTATAAAGAAAATCAGCCTTATAGATGCAGTTAATTTTGTATTACATTGTTCATGTGTATGATAGCAGCTACATTAGTGTTAGCTACCTCAGAACTTGATAATTATGACTATATTGTGTGAAAACATGGCTTGATTCTGGCTCTCCCTCCATCACATTTGTGTTCTGTGTTGCCCAGTTTTCTGCCCCATGGTGGGAAAACTGGCTGGGGAGGGGAGCTGCTGCAGTGGCAGCCTCAGAAACCAGGGCAGTATTTTCAATATGGTAGTCAAGAGTAGATGTGACGGGTGATAACCTGAGAGATGGCAGGAGTGTTTCTTCTGTCCCTGATTTTGCTTACTTTCTTGGCATGACTTTGTAGTCTGAATTACAACACTTGGGAAGCATGAATATTTAGACTTTGATGGTGAGACTTCTCTCTAGACACCTGATCACCTATCCCAACAATTTTCAGACTGTGATCCAGAGCCTGCAGCTGGACAGTATCCTCTGTGCAGGGTTTTCAGTTAAATCTGATGCTAAGGGTGGAGAAATAAAAAAAGGGGTTCATCCAAGTCATGCCACTGAGGAGGTGAGCTCATGTTACTTAACCATCACAGAGCCTCAAGTCTAGCTTGGAAAAGGCAATCTATTTAAGGAACATGAGATGGGTTCCATTCTGCCTCCAAACTATTTCCATAGAGATGTCTTTGACTGAGTTTACAGCATTTCTATAAACATACCTTAGGTCAGTCCTTGCACTAGGAAAGCTACCATTGTGTTCTTCTGAAGCAAACGTTGCTGTAGATAACTTTGAAATAATAATTTCTCAGCTTTCTGTAAAAGGGGCTTAGTAAATTCTGCCCCAAAGGAGGACTTGCACACTGTGCAGTGTTATGGGGCTGTTGCATGTTCTTCACGCCTACAGCATGTGTTTTGACACTGGTCATTTGGGAAGTGAGGAGTGGATAGGGTTAGAGAGTTATATTAATTAAGCTTGTCACTGCCGGAGGGATAATGTGTGTTGTGCACAAGGAAATTCCAGGTAGAGCTGGGCATGATTTTTCTGTGTGGAATTACTAATTTCAAAAAATGTGCTTTTGAGAGAACCACGATTATTCATTTATTCAAGTTCAATCTGGCAAATTATTTCATACAAAACAATAGAGAATATCAGAAAAGTTGAAAATGATTGTTTCAATCTTTCTAGAATGAATCACTTCAATATTTGAATTTCACAGTTACTTTAACTTCAAAATAAATAAATACTTCTCATTTGACACAAAACTTTTAATGTGGGGCTCAAAAGTATTTCAGGTCTATCTGAATTGAAATTTTCCAAATGTTCTTATTTATTGTCATATCCACCACTGTGTATCTGGTTAATTCAGTTCCACCATGTCAAGAAATTTCACTACAGAAAACTCTACAGTATCTACTTAAAAGGAAAGAAAGCAAGCTATGGAGGAATAGGGATCTTTAACACGATGCAACTGGTTCATCCAAAAATAAAAAATAGTAATTAAAATTGAGAGAAAAAAGTAATTTTGAATGCTAGGAGCACTTTCTTAGAGTGAGACATCTTGGTTGATCTTACTTGTCTGTCTGTCTATCTAATCAGCTGGAAATGCCAACTGTTAGTCTATAAAACTGTCTTTCAGAGCGGAAGGGGGAAATGCTTTATGTTTTCCCAATACATCAAAAAAAATGGACAAAGCACAAGAGACTGTATTGAGAAAAATTTGGCACCAGTCTGGGAGGGCAGAAAATGCAATTCTTATAGAGGAGATGATTAGAAGATGGATTGTCTTGTCAATTTTGTTATGGGAGGCTGCAGGTTGGACAGGAGGTGATCTTCACCTGAGATTTTAGCAGTCAACCAGATCTATGAGAGAGCTGCTTGAGTCACTATCCCTGGAGGTATTTAAAAGACATATAGATGTGGTGCTTAGGGACATGGTTTAGTTCTGGACATGGCAGTGCCAGGTGAACAGTTGAACTCAATGATCTTAAAGATCTTTTCAAGCCTGAACGATTCTCTGGTTCTATATATTTTATGGAAATAAGTTGTGTGGAGAAGAGCAGGCAGACAGGACAAGAAAGCACTCTTCTCTAGCCAGTTTTAGGTTTATGATCTTAGCATATCTCAGTATTTGTAAAGCACTTAGAGCCCACTAACTGCATGCAAGCAGAGTGCTTCCATTTACTACAGTGATGCAGAGCCAGGCTGTGGCAGGGCAAGCAGAGCCAACCCTCCCATGCTGCTCCTCACACCATTTATTCCTGCCCTGGGAGGTGGGAGCAGGTGACAAGCCAGGAGTTAGATGCTGAAGGTCCAAGACCCTGTGGAGGAAATGAAAAGTTCTAGTTGCTATGGCTGTGCTTCTCTTCTGGTCAAAGAGGGCAGGAGTGGGGACTGGCAGGCAGCCAGATCCATCTGCAATGGTGATTTAATTACTAACAACGACCTCCAGCCCTGGCAGTAGTTAAATGCCTTTTGAGGGCAGGCACCAAACCTGATCTGGTTTACATAAGATAAACTCAGTTTTGCTGGAGGGAAAGGGAGAGGAGGGGGTGTCTCTGGTCTGAAGGGAACTGATTTATAAGTGCAGCTTCCCAGCCCGCTTCCAGTCACATTCCATGGCAGTGCAGGCTCCAGCAGCCTCCTCTCTGCCAGTGCTGCTGCCATTGAGCAGGGCCAGAACACCAAGTCCCTGCTCCTTAGTTTTTGCAGAGAGAGAACTGGCGCTGTCCCAGCTCTATCCCCTGAGGTGCTGGCTGGGTCTCACTGCACTGCAGACAAGGACAGGAGTGACCGATGCTGCCAGCCAGTGTTGGAGGCCCCTGGGGGACAGTGGTTCTCTTGAAGGATGTGCAAGTACAATTCATCTGTCCTGATGGCTGAGTCTTAGCATGCGGCAGAGGAGAGCTGTTACTCTCTTGCCTCTCCAGCTGCACTGCTGGGGTGTTTGCTGAGTGCCACCACCACTGTGCATCGAGACACTTAACCAGGGAAGGGAGGAGAGAAAGGTAAACAACAGCAATTACTTCTGGGGGACACAAGGGGTTTTAGGGCTTACCCTCATATTGCAGAAATGTCAGTGAGAATGCGAGGCATTTTACAGCCTGGAAGTCAAGCCAATAGCTTATTAATGTTTGGTCTGTGTTTCTGCCATGCTGGATGAATATGTAAAGTATTATTCTAGTGTTCACCTGTGCAATTGAAATATGCGCTTTTACTGCTGTTTTGAAATGAGGGAACCACTATTTCCAGATCAGCTTACCTCCCTTTGCTTGCATGAAGTTAACAATAAAACACTTCATAGCTAAAAGTTGCTGATTTCTCAGGTATTGATATTTTCCTTCAGACTGCCATCAGTCTAGTCATCCGATTCAGTTCACTGTAACAAACCATAGGTTTGACCTCCACAGTGACTTAGGAAATGTTCCCTCTCTCCTCACTTTTCAGAAGACAAGGAAAGAGAAGGTCAGGTTTTATTCTTTGTATTCTGAAAGAGTGATAAAGAATGACAAGTCCATTTCATGTTCATCTCCTTTCCATGTCTTGAATGATTGAATTTGTTGCCTGGAAGAGTTCTCCTTTTTGTAGCAGTCTGAAGCGTCTTTTCTAGCATGTCTCACCTGGGCATGAGATACCACAGCCTGGAGTTTTGTCTCTTTGAGTAGGACTTTTCCTACTGTTGCCATATAAGACCTTGAAACTGGTAAGTCACATCAAGGAGCCATGTGCCTACAGACCTGAAAATCAAGATAAGGATTTCCCTTAGGTTTCTCAAGATTTTCTGCCTGGAAGGCCAAACCCCCTGCTGCCCATGAACTCTGCTGGAGCATAGACCCAGACATCTGTTGCTGCTGGATTCAGGACTGCATTTTTATGTCTGCTATGCATGGCCAGTGCAAACTGCCAACAACATTAAAAGGGAAGTATCTGCCGAAAATAGAAGGATGAGACATGAATATTATGCCTAATGTGCTCTTCCTTTGTAGCTCTCCTAGGAGTAGTACACACGAGGTGTGCCTCTACATCCTTTTGGGAAAGCTATAGTACATGAGGGAATTCCAAGTGTCCTCTCCTTTAAACTTCATGACAGAATATCCATTCTCATCTTGTTTTCTTCTTTTACAACACACTCTTGGATTTCATGGACACTGTGTACCACAGCTGATTGGAAGGGTCTAGAACAATTTGGAAAAATAGAGAGGTCCAAACAGAACCATCAGCTTTTATCTCCCTCTTAGATGTGTTCAGCAAACCCTTGATCATTGCAGGAAATCAAAGTCCTGGGCTGACTTAATCCCAGCTCAGCACTAGGGTCACACAACAGTTCATATAGACTCTTTTGTAGTCATAAAATGTTCTTTAAAAATGCAGGGAGAAATGTTTCCTCTTTACCTTTTTGGCTTTCCATTCTTTGTGCTGCAGCAGAGATCGACAGTCCTCCTGTTTATTCTGACTTTCTTCCAGCAGCTCAGCTGGGTCAGAAGTGATGGTGACAGGTGGGGGAACAATTTATTTTATTGAGTTGCAGATGTAAAGAGAGGCTCAAGAGCGTTCAAGTAAATTGCCATTTGTGTTAGTCAGATCTCCTAAGAACCAGAAGTTTGTGTACATGTTAAGTCACTGCTTCACTTTTTCTTATGCTATTTCAGACTGAGTGTACCATTGGTATACACATGCTTTTTTTCACTGGACATGGTTGAAAGAAAACCATCAACAACAAAAATTGGGAAGGGGTGGGGTGGAGAAGGAGAGGATAAAAGATAGATACGTTATTTGACTTTGGGACAACATTGTCCCCATTGTTCAAAATGGGAATAGATGGAGGATAAATCTGTGACTGCTAGTGGACCACTTGGATAAAAACTGTGGCATCATCAGCTTCTAAGGGCACTTTTAAAATTCTCAAGTAATGATCCCAAAATAGTGACATTCCCATAAATACATTGGTATTGAATTTTAATTAGAAGGAAACCTAGATATGTATATAAATATATATGTATTTGTGTATCATATTAATTTTATTTACTGTAAATATTGGTCACCTAGCAGGAGTAGATCTAGTGTCCTATAATAAGTGTTATTCGCCTTGATTGAGAAGGAGGAGGAGGGAGACAATCTTATTTGTTTTGCAGAGGTATGTCAGCATTCTAACAATGTAAGGCAAAACATTAGCCTTTGCAACTTAACCTCAATTCTATTTGGAGCATGATTTATCAGCACATGAAAGAACACCAGTACTTTAAAAGATAGGTCAGATTCTCAGCTGCTGTCAATCAACAGCAGCTCCTCCACTCTCAATTCTTCCACTGACTTGAAGCCAAGAGGTTGGCTTGGGGTCTTAAAAAGGCCCACTCTAAGTGGTCTTGGACTTCACTCTTCATTAAAAGATGCATGCTGCTTAATAGTTAAGCACACCCAACACATGTAAGAAAACAGCTATTTCTGAACTGTTCTGGCTCAGCCTGGTTCTGGTGATGCTCTCTCACAGGCTCCAAAGTGAAAATCTCAGAAAAGACAATGATGGAGCAGTCAGCAACCTGTGCAAATTTCTAACTCCATGGAGTTTGGACTTGATTAATCAGTTTTCAGTGTATTGCCTTTTGATTTTCTGTAAACCACCCTTTACTGCCATATCAGGAAACCGGACAGCAGTGCATGATTTTCATCTCTGTATCAGACCTTCCTTCACTCAGCTGTAACCTCCCCTCTCTTACCTATTTCTAATCTGTTCTAGTCTTTTTGATCTCTCTCTCTCCTTATGGGGAGATCTTTTCCAGCTTCTATCATTTTTAGCTTCTGTCCTTGAAGTCAGTTCTCTCCAGCATCATTTGTTCTAAAACAGGCTGAAGGGATAGTTTGCATGACCAGGATTTGTGATAGGTTTGCTGAGTGATGCTTAAACCTTCTAAGCCTTATTTCTCTCCCAATGGTATGTCCTGAGAGCATCTGCTTTTTAGCCACCCTGTGAAAGGGCCCATGAACACCTCTGGGATGTTTTTCCTCTGTGGTTACAGCTCATCTCAAAGGAACCTGTTTTACAGCCAGTGAAAAGCCATGCAGCCTTGCTGCCGGCACACACTCGCCCTCCTTTCCCCGGTGCCAGCTGGGGATGTGGTCAGGCTGCTGGCACATGAGATCACATCCAGCACGGCTACTCCCTGGAAGCCAAAGTGTTGCTTAGTAACCTACTCATGGAAGTACCAGAAGCATTTTTCAATCTGTCACATTGGCAAAAAAACACTGGCTTCTTGATTTAGAGGCATTCTGCTGTGCATAGCAGGGCTGTGCTCCATTACCTTGCATCCAGCACTCTCTGCAAGTGAAGAAACGAACCTCCCATTTAATGGAGGGCCTATGGGGGAAAGGAGGATGAGGCACAGAAAATATTTGCCCAGGATTGCATGTGAAGCCTTTAGCTGGTTCTTCCGGCATCTAGTCCATATCTTAACTGCTTTCCTGTGGGAGATATTTCCTCCTTATGAAAGTACACTCCAGGGTCCTACAGCAATTGACCAAACAGGACTCTGCAACACCTTCATCTATTATGAGACATTACTGCAATAAAACATGGTGTGGCATTCAGAAACTGGATGAGGTATTGCAATATTTATGTTGTAAGCCTCAGTGTCATGGACAATTGCTACAGAATAATGTATGTCTTTTTTTAACGCAATGGAGTCACAGCAGCTTCACAAATGCACACAGAACAGAGACCATCTGGGATTACATGGTTTCCTCAGTTATTTTCAAATGACTTTGTTACAGAGAGTTAAATGAAAAACATCCTCTCATGTAAAAATGGACTGTAAAGGCTTTTAGCTTACTCCCTTCCTCTTTTAAGAATAATTCAATTCAGGAGCAAAAATTCCAAGAACTTTGGAGCCTCGCACCTTTATCTGGAACTGGTTTATCCTTAAAAATGGCTTCAAAAAGTAACTTGAGGTCTTTTATTTGAGGCACCTTCTTGATTTTACTATCAAATCTCCTCAGTTTGGAAGTGAAAAGGTATTTTAAGAAATGTCTAGGTTTGAGCTCCGGGTCCAGCTGGGCTCTTCCTGTCCTACTTCTTGTCATCAGAGAGAGTAGAGCTGTAATCTGTGTCTAACCACAGTATCACCCATTTCTTGTTGTCAGACTGTGTCATGGAAGCCCTCTGCAAAAATATGAAGGGATTTTTTTTATAAAAGTCATGGAAGGTCCAGACAGGTCTGAAGACAAGGTTGTTAGACAAGTGTTCCAGAGAGGTCCTTCTGGTCTCCAGAGAGTCTTCTACCTGGGACAATGCTCAATGCCACGGTGAAGAAATCAGCAAAGTTTGTTTCTTGTGCAAAGCCTTTTCAGTGCAAGGTCAGTGACACACAAAACAGTTGTGAGCTAAAGCTGGACTTAGCATAAAGATGTAAAAACATCCCCAAACTTGAGCTCCCCACTTGATTTCTGAGGACTTTCTGAGGAAGTGGGTACATCTCTGTGGTCCCAGTCTAATAGATAAATTTGAGCATGGGACAAAGAATCTTTCAATTTTATTGCATGTAGTTGCATTTTTATTGCAAATGGTTTAAGAACTACAGAAAGTCATCAAAAAGTGTTCCTGATGACTGGTGTGTGGCCAGCATAAGAGCAAGTGATGACCCGCTATGGGTCCAAGTGCAGAAGTGTCTACATTGCACTCAATCAGGGAGTACAATCAGAGAGCATATTTGGCAGGGGAGACAAAGGCTGTGGAGGCCTAATCTACATTTTAATTCTTAGAACTAGCTGTGCCAGCTCAGCTGATGGAAATCTTGCCCTTGCGACTCTTTGCTCTGTGGAAAGAAGACTCAGAGAAGCAGTAAGTTTACAATGGATCATTTGTTTTAGAAGTAGCAGGGTATCTATTTCCAGTCTTCTAATACATTAACCTTGAAGTTTGTTTGTAATTAAATAGTCTTGTCTTACCAGTTAGCCATTGAAGCAAAAGAACTGTTGTTGCAAAGAGAGTGGGCTAGGGAAGAGTAGTTGGGCTGGGTAACTTCTGGGCAACACTGAGCATCCGCTCCCTGCATTCACAGGGGAGAAGCACCTCTTTCCTTGTATGTTCTGTGTGATAAAATTATTTCAGCTGAAAGAGATTTTAGAGGAACTTAGTGACAAAGCAGGGTTATCCTAATGATGATTCTTCTTTAGTTTTTGAGGTTACTATCTGCTCATATACTCACAGCTTTCTTTTTGACATTGGGAATGCTCTAGGTTATCTCTGGCTCACCTGACTGGGATCTGCCTGCCCTTATGGAAACAGCAAAATGTGGGTTGGACGCTGCCCCACTTCCTGGCTGTACACACCCCTTCCTATACATGGTATATGTGTATGTTGAGTGACTGCGTCATAGGACTTTTGTAATGCAATAACTGTGGTGTCAAGACAATGTGGTTGGAAAAAAAATGACAAAAGGAATACCAGTCAATGAATAGACAATGCAGATGAAATTTTCATACTCTGAACCACCACCATGTTTTCTACAATATGCCAACTTCTGTATCCTCTAAATAGCCTTTTATCTTCTTTGCAGCAGAAGAGGACTTGACTTCTGTGTCTTTACTTTGAGCTGGAGCCATTGGTGTTCCGTCTTTTCAAAATGTGCTGATGAATTAAAAATCTAACCCTGTCATGGGTTTGCCAACTTCCATAGCTTCCCATCAAAATAATCTAATACCAGTTAGTGAGTAGCTTGGCAGAGTTTGGGTGCCATTGAAATGTTGCTCTTCAGGGCAATAGTGATAAGGAGGTTTTATATGGATGCTTGTGAGGAAAACCCAGCAGTCTCAGATGAAACCAATTGTCCTATTAGCCACTTGGTAAGTACAGAGGTGAGCTAGAACAACTGAGTGAGGAAAAAAATTAAGGACTCCTGCCTGAAGAATACCCCAAATATCACTCTCACTTTAGAGGAGAAACCCTTCTGTGACCAAATCTAGTGTAACAAGTAGGTGGGCTCACAAGGCTGGAGAGACATATCCCTATAGCGTGTTTGTCACCATGGCTTCAATTATGTAAACATACCAGAATAGGAGAAAAATGACTGTCATTTCTTTCAAATTCCTTTTCAGCTATGTACACTATCTCCAGGCTGCTAGTTGCTACCCCCTGTGAAGTCTCACTGGCGTTTACACTATGCTGCTTGGTCTTCATTTACTTTCGGTGGCCACAGACTAAGGTTAGAGGTTGGGAACCAGTACATAATTATAAGGACAGCTTCTTGTGTTATTTTATTTCCCTTTCCCTCCTCTGTAACATGTGAACCTTTCTTTTGAACTCTGAAGTGACTGTGTTGTTACAATGTGTGTTTGTAGAGATTTGTTTTGACATGGCTTGTGTGGAGGACCTTTGCTTCTCTTACTCATACTCGGTTTTATGAAGTGCTTGATAGTTTTGCCAGCCTTTTGTGGGGGAGGAGAGGTGATGGGGTGGGTTCTTGCACTTCAAAATTTGGTTTTCTTTGAGGGAAATTTGCCCAGCTTTCCATAGAGAGGTATGAGAATCCAGGGTGCTCCTGACTGTTCTTCTGTCATCCTGATCTGACTTCTTCCAGGATAAAGAAATCGGTCTTGAAACCCTCAGAAAAATATGTTGCTTAATGCTAGAAGCCAGCACTGACCAAGGATGCCCATCAGTTTGATGTGCATGGAAACTTCCATGA